GGGAAAGAGGAAGAGAAAGAAGTTTGATTAGAAGTGGGAGCTAAGGAAAAGAAACCACCACCACAGCTGCACTTTGAAAATACCAAGATTATTTGCAGAAAAGTGCTGCTCTGCTGTCAATGTTGTGTAATGCAAACACAAGTTCGTTCTTTCCTCCTGCTCAGCACAGGGTGGAGCAGGGGCAAAAGGTGACCTTGGAAATACGCACAAATAAATAACAGCTAAAATCAAAGTAAATACAATGATTTTAAAGCACATAAACTTTACAAGGCAGTTCATGTGATTTTTTTTTTTAATGACACTAATGCCTTGTTCAGCTGGTGGAAATCCAGGATAGATAGAAACTTCAGTACAGGTCACACAGCTACCTTTCAAACTATCCCAGCATCATGCAGATGTCCATAAACAGCAAAACAATCAAATTTGTCAAGGCTCAACTTTTACGGAGGAATGTGGTCTAGATTTAGCCTCAGGATCAGGTCTGCAAATCAATGTCGAACTGTATAACCATGTTCAGTTGCATAAGAGATACTTAATTGCCCAGCAACCACCAGCAGAAAAACCTTGAGCCATAGTTTGCCTAAAGTGATGCCATGAGTTTGTTACTGGCACAAATCATCCAAGTGTCCACAAGATAAGTCCTTCTACCGCAAGACCATCTTTTCCTCTGTGCTGCTAAGGTGTAGTACAAGACAGGTTGTGTGTCTCCAGCTTGCTACAATTTGCATCAAAGCAAAGGCTAAAGCTTATAAAAACAGAGGGAGACTGGAGCTTTCTTCACTTGTTCTATTTGAAACTTCTTGACTATCAAATCAGTATCACTACGCCCATTTCTTAGCTAGTCAATCTCTTCTGGCTGGCCACGCAGGTAAGCAGAGCTCCTGGATCATGTGCGGAGAAGTTTTCCACTATAAGCATCCCCTTCTTTCACCTACAGAGTTCTCTCACCTAGACCCATTTATCCACAGTTTAAACACAGATTTTTTTTTGTTTTAAACAGAGTCCTAAGATGGAAGGAAGACTCCATGCAAAAAACCCCTATAATCCCTCAGAATGAGCATCCAACAGTTTTGCTGTTTGCAAAGGCTGGGTGATGCAGCAGTGAGCATGGGAATCCAGGCAGCCGAAGCGGGCTAGCTAGCAGGGACACCAGGGTGAGAGCAGTATGTCAGGCATGGACCAGGGAGTTTTAAAATTCAGCCCATCTCCAGAGAGAGGGGAGACTTTGCATGAGTGTACATGTGCAGTGGTGGGGCAGTAATAGTTCACTCAGTCATGGAAAACAAAAAGCCCATCGCAAAAATCTACACTCAGAAACATATTAATCAGGACCTTCTCGAGGGTTTTTTAGCCTTTGTTTTCTGCCTCTCATGGAGTCATGCACTGTCTCCTTTTCTAGCACAGATGTGCACTACCTCACATTAACCAACTTGTGTACCCCAACAAGAGCATCTGTACAATACACATGTCTTACCAAGCAAGCAGGTGCTACCAGAGAAGCTGTGATCCTCACACAAACCCAAGTATGGTGATACCACCTGCTTGACCAGTTCTTCCAGCTGTAGGTAGCCCTCACTGGGGCCAGTAGGCTCATGGACACTCTGAAATTCAAACATAAAAAGTCAACATTACCCTTACATAGTTTTGAGTAAGGTTTTTGAGTAAAACCTGGGGTCTGTCAAATATCTCTGCACTGGAATATCCCAACCATATCAGTAGCCTGTTTGGAGGAGCACAGCTGACGAATCCAAATGGAGGTTCTGGTGCCATTCAGGTCAACCTCATTGTTCAAGTCATAGCCATAACCCTATGGACATCGAGCAGCTAGCTGTCTTTTTTCTGACCAAGGGATAGGAAGGTACAAGGTACGCTCACACTGAGGGTTTGCACAGTGTAACTACAGCGATATAATTATACCAGGGCAGTTCTGCCAGGAAATGTCTCTTTGTAGAAAAGCCTTAAACCACGTTGGGTAAAGCACTGCTCTTTTCCTAGGCAGGACCACAGGAAAAGCACCCTTTGTACTTCAGCTTACAGCTGTGAAGATGGTAGATAACACTAACCAATTTAACAGTAATTTCAGAAACCGTTCACAGACTTAACTTCCTGTAAAGCCTCAATAAGTTTTTCTTTCTCAAACGTGTTACTCTGAGACCCTCTTTGCCCTCAAGATTCTTTTATTAAAATATTTCAGGGAAATTGAGCTAGCACTTTAGTATCTCCTGCTATTACAGTCTGGGTCACTGGCAACATGAGAACAGCAAGAACTCATACAGAAATACCAGCTTATCCACTTTGCAGTTTTGATTGTACTTCAGAAAGTCTCATTCCCCGCCACTCATTATAAGGTATATTGGAGAAGAAATAAAAGTGAGATGAACCCAAACAGCCACCTGTAATATGGTATTTTGCAGGACTGTCAGGCTGGGCAATATAAAAAGGTAAAACAGCTGGTATACTTGGCTGCATTTGGCATGCTTGGAAAATAATCTCTTGAGGTCTGGATAAAGAGGATAGTCCTCACAGAAGGTCTGGATCTCTTGGGAGAGGCTTTTGGAAGATGTATAGCATTTTGCCTGCTGCCAAAATGTATTCCACCTCTCATAGGCACTGCTCAGCATCCCAGCCAGCCAAAGGGCTGGCATTGGGCAGCCAGCAGCCACAGCTCGTTCAAATTCCACAGTACTCTGTGATGGAGACTCACCTGTCATTGCAAAGCTGAGAAACAGGAGAACTAGAGCACAAAGAGGCATTCAGAGAAGCTGGAAGATGAAAATTTATGGGAAAAAAAATAGAGTCCTGAGACTGTTCCTAGCTGGGGAGGAGAGGTACAAAGAAAAATACAAACACCAAAGAGCAGAACCCAGCCCTTTCACGGCAACATCCTTACCTGTTCCCAGGAAAGCTCAGGACATACAAATTCAGCTCTCATTTCTACATTTACTGCCCCCAAATAAGCACACATCACTTCCCCTTCACCACACCCTCTACCCTCCCCACTCTCCTTTCCAGAGTTTGTGTTAGTTCAATGAGGTTGAGATACCCAAGTGGAGTCAGACGAAGAAGAGCAGAGGCTCCCCACCTGCAGAATTAACAGCATCTGGACAATGGAAGCTGGGAGCTTTGTCTGGACCAGAGGAAGAATTTCTTCCAACTTTACTTTTAGCAAGACCAAGTCTCTGAAGCCAAGAAGAGCAATCTGACGGATAGTCAACTCCTGACCCTAAAAACCACAGAAGGCAAAATCCAAGAGTTGGTAAAGGGAGATGCGAGCACCACACCAACACATGTACGCACACAGACAGAAATGGTCTATCCTGCCTGTTGCTGCTGTGGCAAAGCACCCCCAGCTGCTCAGGTTGAGGATTCATGGTACGCTTTGGTCACTTCCCTCTCAGTCTTTGTCCCACATAAATTCTAAAATGAGTAACACCTCATCTGAGGCAGCACTAGGTTTGGAATGAAGCCAAAAATGGGCCTGTATTTCATCAAAAGACTATGCATTCCTGAAACCCAACTGCCATCCACTTTGGTCACAAACATCCAAAGCCCAGGACAGATGCAGCTCATGCTTTTGCCACTTGGAGCTGAGAAACCAGAGAAGGTTTGGTAGAGAACGAGGTTGGTACAGAGTATTCCTTAACCAAGCATACCTCTGGTCTGTGTTGGATCCTCTTTTTGCTCAACGTCTGCACTTTAGACCTTGCTGATATGACAAAAATCCACAATTCAGTCCATTACAGATTTTAGGATTTAGGCTAGAGCAAAGCTAGCGAGGCTGCTTGTACCAAACATCATTTAAAAAAGCAACAGCTTTGATTTCCACTGCAAGGTGCTCCGTGTCCTCCCAGTTACTTTTTTACATCAACAACAGAAGTGAGCAGGCTTAACAGATGAAGTTGTTGTAATATTTCTCAGCATATTTAAACACAGTTGGACTCCATTTGACATTCTGGTGTTACTGCTTTTCCCTCTGCTATGCACATCCACACGAGTTTCTCTTGCCCCACTGCAGCTTAACAGCAGAAATTTTCCTCCAAGCCCTGCCCAGAACTTTCCAGCCTGAAGAGTTTCCCTTGTTCTTCCCAGCATGTTAATCTCTGCCCCACGGTCTATTAGGGAACCATTTTATGGTCTCCAGAACACACTCAACATGGCAAATATTTAGCTGGAAGGAATTAACAGCAGTTAATCATTAATTCATAATAGGTTTAATGTCATAATTAATAGCATCATCAATATGTAAATACAAATTAAAGCCAATAGTCTGGAGGGCAGCTTGGCCATAATAAAAGCACTTTGCTGTTTTAAACCATCACTGCGTGTTTAGAAACATGGAGGTGTAGAAAAGACCAGTACTTATCTCTGAACTATATTTCAGCAGCTGCACCCTTTTTATTTATATCATGCCGTTTAGTCCCATTAACTTCATGCCCCATTTCAAAATGTAAACATTTTGCTGTGCCAAACAAAACAAGATTTGCTATTCTTTTTCCACATCAAGTAGTTACATCAACAGCTGCAACTATACAAAAGCCAGTGACCTGTTTACATAGTTTCCCTCTGTACAGCAATTTAACCAACTTGGCTGCTTAAAGGTCATATTTCTGCAACAGCTATGAGCCTCGGGTTTAAACTTAGCTGAGGTAGGAAGTTAGTTCTAGTTACTACCTTTGCTAACATATGCTCACACATTTGGCTGACTCACTTTCATTCTGACTGAATGGGCAGTTGCTGGGATCACAGAAAAGCACAACTAAATAATCATGTTGACATTCGCAGCAAAAGATGGGGAACCAACAACAAACTGACTTTCCCATCTACCAGAGTAGCTCATGAAGAACTGCGACTTGGTGAAAGAGATTTGCTAGATGAGCTCTCTTCACATGTGGTGATACACCGTATAAATAGGTACATACAGATCCCTCTTTGCAGGAAGAGCCCAATCTTGTTATTAGGGTACTGGCCTGGGATACGAGCAATTTCTTATTTCTTGCTGCACCAGCAACTCTCTGTTGTAGCCTAGGGCATCTTACTCAGAGTCAAATTCTTGGATGTATTTAGGCAGTTTAAATCCACACATTTGTGCAGGGCTTAGGTGCCTACAAAGCTTTAAATATGCTGTCCGTACCTTTCAGTTCCTCATCCATAAAATGTCAATACTTCTCTAACTTCATAGCTTCTATGAAATATTTTTGAGTGACTCAGATATTGTGACAAGTGCAGTAAGAAAGTTAGGCTTTCAAAGAACCTCAACATCCCATAGTCATGCTTTCACCACTACCACCAAGTTACTTCCAAAAGCTGCACCCATTGTGCAGTAACTTTTGTTCAGTTTCTCATTAGAGACATTTAATAGCAGGGGAGTAGATTTTTCTGGTAAGTGGCAGAATTATTAGCATCAGTGGCTATGATACACAGTTAGCTCAGCTGTTGCCACAGTGCACAGATAGCTGCAGTGCAGACAAGCCCCTGCTTAAATACATTAGGTCACTCCCTGACTGAGAATTAGTTGCAAAAGGAGAGAAAGGGGAGATATTATAATTGCAGAGTTTTACCTGCCAAACACCTACCTTTAAGCATCTGCAGCAAGGAAAGAATAAAAATAAACACAGTAGAAAGGTTAGTGTCTGTCTTCACAGAAGTCCTTTCTCTTTTAGGAAATGCCAGCTTTAATAGGATTAGAGGAAAAGGGCAAGCTTTGAGCTTTACCTGCTGCCTTTCAGACAATACAAGGGAAAAATAATTTTATAAGGCTCTGGAAAGCATGTCTTGTGCAGAGAGAGAAAAGTCAAGAGGAGGAGGCTAGCATTTCCATGAACATCAGTCTCCTCATGAGGTATATTTTTCTTTTCCTCTGATGGGAAGAGAAGATCAGAATAGGCTGGGGAGGTAATTAGACTGCTCATATGGAAATTCTGACTAAAACTACATTAAAAAATGATACAGCTCAACATTTCTGATGGGATACTTAGTTTTCAAAATACCCAAGTCTAAAGTTGTTCATTCATCTTCTGCCCATAGATTTACTTGTCCCCTTATTAAAGCTCCAAAAAACCCAACAGAGGATTTTCCAAAGGCACAACTGGGACATAAGTCCTCCAAAAGTAGTTAGGGAGAGTTGAACACATTTGCTCCTGATCTAGTCTTCAGATTTGTCCCTCTGAAGACAAGTTGTCAGTGTTGTCATCTGCACCAACAGAGTCCCAGGTATGTAAAAATGGAAGAACTATAAATACAAACATCCCAGAGCTTCCGTCTACACTCAGTATAGTCCAATAGTTTCAGTGTTCAAGCTTAGCTAAGCACAGACAGAGGGTAGACAAATGGGAATAATTCAGCCCAAAACACTGTGCTTGCCCAGTAGATTTTAGCAGTCCTTCCTACACAGTTAATGCTGACTTGGGCAAACTCCGCTTCCTCCCAGATTTAGTTTAAAGGTTTTGAGATCTGTTTAGCCACTGGCCAAGCAGTACTGCTGGAACAGAAGAGAAGTTTCTGTGTGCAGACATTGCAGTTACATTGCCTCACCTGACTAAGACTGAATAATTAAGATTACCTGGACTGGGTAGAATATTGCCTGGAGTGTAGGAAGAGTCTCTGTAAAATAATGATCCCAGATTTCAGACAGGACATCAATGCGATCCTCACCTATGAAAAGAGAGATTGGGAGCAAGAGCTTTAGCGACACAGACATTAAAATCAAGCTGAATTTTCCCACTACTCTCTAATTCCCCAAATAACAGATACAAACCCACCCTTCAAATTCACAGTTTCTGTCCAAAACAGGACATCACTCAGCTAAGCCTCACCTTCAACAGAGATACAGGTCTGTGACCATAAATTGCTATGTATGTTGATTACTGCAAAGAAGACAGCTCTGTGCAAAACATGAGACCAATTCCAACAAAAGAGCGAAGCCATTCTTCAACCAGAGGCTTTAACTGCACAGCAAAGGATTGTGTAACCTCACAGCTCACAGTCAGCATGGTCAACTAGCATGGGAGCATGACCGCACATTAGCAGCTGAATCTGAAAACCAGCAGCTGCAGCAACTGAGTCAGGGAGACCATTGACAAGAGCTGAGCCTCCTCTGGCATCCCCCCACTCCCAAGCGCAGCCATGGTGCTCCTCTCAAATGTGGCATTTGGGATGGTTCCTGAATTAAATCTACTTGTGACCACCCCTCATGTGACTCCTACTCAAACATCCCCAAATGTACGTGGGTATTTAAAATGAAGGCAGACTAAATTATGCAACTCGTGATTCCCATAACAGGAATACAACTGTGGTCAAAAGCCTATTATTAACAAAAAATGCTTTATTGAACATAATCATTTGAATAGACATTTTAAATTATGCTCATAGGCTCTGTAGAGCTGTGTGTTCCTCAGCATTTGGGCCCAAAGCTTCTAAGTTTTTTAGGAGATTTTTCCCATCCCAAAGGCCAAAGGTTTGCAATTTTTTTTCAAGTTTTAGATACATTCCCCAGATATTTCAGGTGCAAATACAGACCCAGGTTTAATAACACAAGTCTCTGAGAAAAGGATTTTCCAGGATAGCTTCCACGGAGCCTCAGCTGGAGCTCACAAGCAGTCAAGACTCAAGGAGCAGTAATGGAAGACAGCTGCTCAAGACAGCTTTGAAGGCTCAGCCTCAAGGTGACTCAGCCTAAAGGCCCTACATGAGGAACTGGAACACACATAAAATTGCAACTCAAAGGAGCCTTATTACTGTGTACTGAAGTGCTTTCCCCATCTGGAGACTTCCACATGGGCCCTCACTGTGCTTGCCCATGGGTTGTGCTGCTTAGGACACGGCCAGAGAGTGAGCAGGAACAGATCCTGCAGATGTTTCCTTTTGAGCAGAGAGCCCACCGATGACCGCAGGAGGGTTCAGAGGAAGGCTTCACTGTGTTAGGTATGACGCCAGCTTCAAAACTGGAACTGCAGGCAGACGAGCACATACCCAACACCCCCATAACAGCTACCCATTACCAGAAACTGCCAACTGTAAGTGAAAAAGACAACAGGAAACAGACTAATTGAATGTTTAAATTTTTCCTTCCCCTGCCTCCTCCCCAGGACTGCAACGCTTTGGTGTGTGGAGCCAGAATGAAATGCCATAGATCACTTCTCCTTCTGAAGGGGAAGGGGGAATGGTTTGTTTCTTCAAGAAATCATAAATCCTATAGGCATTGAAAGAGATTCTGACAGACTGTATAAGAAAAATCACGTTAAAATAAGAGGCTGTGATTTGAAAAACAGACACAGTAAAACATTGCCATGCCCTGCAGCAGGAACATTATTCCATCTCTGAGTACTGGGACAGTAGAAATTTTCCAGGAAGACAGAGCTAACTGAGAAGCATGTACAAGAAGTTCTTGTTGTTATGACCACAAGACCTGCAACAAGCCTACACATTATGAAAGAAAGGTGCCCGTGAGTCATCTCCTGCAGAGATGCCAGCCTGCACAGGCAAAGTGGCTCCAGTGTTGCTTCAAACTGGAAACAAAAAAATGAGGCATAGGAAGACGGTTTGCTGTCTGCCTGAGAAACTTCATCTTACCCAAACTACTTGAGCAGCTGCAAACTACTCATGGGCAGCTCTCAGTTTATTACAGACTGGAACTCCATAATGATAAAACAGGCATTGGAATAGTTTTATATGAATACAGAAAACAAAACCTATGATAAGCTGCACAACTCTCATTCTGAAGAGCTGGCAGCAGCAGGGCAGGCACCCACATTCGGGAAAATGCATGAGTCTGCCTTTTTTCCTCCCTTACAGGACCAGGGCCGAAGAAGCATGAACCAAGCAGGAGGCTGGCAACTGCACAGCTCCTTCAGGGTATGAGTCCTACAGCCCACTGGCTGGGTGAAGTCACTTGGTGAAGACCAGTGCAGAGGAATCCAGCACCAACAATGATGCAAGATTATAAGTGTCTATTGGCATTTAATGACCCAGATACAGCAGGCTGGTGATTAGCAAGGGATCTTCTCTATAGGCTACAAAACTGGGTCAAATCAAACGGCAGCCTAGTTTTGAATAAGGACGTGCTCTAGACAGCTCACTCTGCTTGAGCAAGCTGTTAATAAAAGTGACTAACTCCCCACACATCCAGCACTGAGTGTTGCTGCACCACACTGGCCTTCATCCACAGGCTCTGTGGTAGCAAGCATGTGTACCCCAGTGGTTTGAACAGAACTTCATGTGTGATCAACTTCTTTCCTGAAGGATTCCATTCCCACCCAAGTGACTGTTTTTTCTTTAAATTTACACAAAGCCTGTTAGTTCAGCTCTCAAATGCATGACACAGTAACCAAAATTGTGCTTACATTGAGCTGCGAATCACATTGAGAAATAAAAGGCACAAGGCAGCTCTCAGCAGTTTTGCAACAGGATCCATGTGCAGCCCAGAACTGCTTTGAGCCCAGGTTCAACTGCCACACAAGACCCACGCTCCTGCTCTCGCAATGAAGATGTGGCTGGTGGGAGTGTTGCAGCTTCGTGGCTATTCAAACAGCCCACCATCCCTTAAGCCTCACAAGGGCTGCAGTGCAACCTGACTCCTGAGAAGTTGTGTGACACCCTACGACAGTACCAGAAAGGGCTGTACGCTTTCCAGACATGCAAATCATCTTGTCTGACCAAACATCAAAGCACAACTCCCTTCCAACATGGGTTTCTTACTATACTTGCCTTCACACAGTTTAACCTTCTCCTCTATAAACAGCAAGCCTTTCACAAGGAGCTGGTTCTGCCAAGAGAGAAGAGAGAGACATGCATTTGTTTCTTCTGAGATTTAAAATAAACATGGAAGAATGATTTTTTTTCAGATGTTGTCCACTTTGCATGCAGTTATCTAAAGATCAGTCATATCATAGTACTTTCTCCCAGCACCGCCACCAGACCTGGTCTCACTATGAGTGCTGTACATTCATTAACCCCCTCTTATTCAGCCAGACATGAGAACACAACAGACAGCAGATTGTTGAAACACTTGCCAGAAGTGGGAAGGAAGGACCTGTCCTGGGTCACAGGCAGGGAGTCAAGAAAATAAAACGGTTCTTAACATGAGTGCAGCCACATAAGCTATACCTCAGCCATATGATGGAGGTGATCAAAGGGCCAGCTGCTACCAAAACGTCCCACTCTCTTCTTCCTTTGCACTAGCTCAGTGCTTGCCTGACTGCACAGTAAGCCAGTTCAGCTCCCTAACCCTTACTTCTCTATTCCTACCTATTCTCTTTCTATGGGGCTATCTTTTTTGCTATATTGAGCAGTTGGATCATCCCAGTATGCAGTCTCAAGCTGCACAAGAAGTGGCAGGAGTTAGTCTTTCTAGATAAACTTAACTATCACGGACCAGACAGATCAAGATATTGATGTGCCTGTTTGCAGTTCAGGACATCTAAATATCTGACAAGCTTTCTGTTCCAATTTCCCCAAACATAAGAATGGTGCAAAAACACCACCTACCTTTTTATTCTCCCAACAGCACTAGGAGAATCAGTTATTCTGAAAAGCTTTGAGAATCCCAGAGAAAGGAGCTGCTATCACCACATAACACACTATTACTGCATCCTAAAAAGTTCAGTCCTACCATAGAGATCATATTGACAGAGAACAAAGCCTTCCATCCCTCTGAAAGGATTCAATATCAGAGTAGCACACAATATTCAGAGACCTCAATATCTCTCTCTCCCATGTTCATCCTCCAGCTTTTGTTTTTAATGGGTAACCAGGTCAAAGTTGCACTTTTCAACCTTCCATCAGCTGAGGAGCAAGGCACATCTTTTTTCACTCCCACTGCCATTACACCACTGCCTGGAGACCACCATGGCCTCCTGATGAGCTGCCGTAGTGCACACCTGCCCTTGCACTGTTGTTCTGGATGATAGACCTGCCTCCTGTAACCATATAGCAGGCTGGCTCATTCATGACACACACAAGCAGATAACCATGTAAGCCACCCTAAGCAAAGATAGCAGCACACCTCTGCATCCTCCCTACAACAAGAAGCAGTACTAAACTGGGGTATTGTTGAAGGGAATAAAAAGAATGAAATGTTGCTCTGTGACATTCTCCGCTTGTACTTGTACTTCACTTTCCAGAACAAAAGAAAAACTTGCCACTCGAGAGTCCTACTTGTTAGCATCAGACATCATTGAAATGTGTAGAAAAGAAAGGGCTCTTCCTTAAATAGTATCTAATCAAACAGACTCCAGAAGTCTTTTGCAAGTAGGTTGAGGCTGAGGGATTGAAGAGACCACCATCCATCCCCATCAGTAAGGAAACATCTCTGGATGCATTGTCCTGGTGGAGAATTTATATTCAAAAAGCTGTCAGGTAGGAAAATACTGAAATTAATAAAGTCAGGGGCTGAATTCAAGAAACTTCTTTTGCTTTCAAATCTCACCTCATGCAAGGCAAGCTCTGAGACCCTTTGGGGCTGGGTACCACTGCAATACCAGAGAGAAATTTTTTCATTGGCATCTTTGTCAAGATTTCAGCAAAAAGGGCCTGGAACAAAGAACAAGCCATATAAGCTCACCAGTCGCCTCACACGCTATTGGTAGTAGGGGGAACTTCCATTAAAAGTTTCACCTCAAGACAAGACAAGACTGTATGGACATTGTCTTCTTCATGGTGTGAAAAAAGTGTGATGGTATACAACAGAGAGGAAATGGGTACCTTTCCTTGGCTGTTGTTCCATCTCATGGCTACTTCATCCACATTAAAACATTAACTCATGTTTTGCTACAATGGCTTACTTGTCTTAAATGAGCCAGATGTAAGTACTTTTGAGATACTGCTTTAAAAAAAAAAACCTGCATCCTGTAATGTGTATCCAGAGTTCAGTCATGACATAAGGAGGAATGGCCATCCAATTCACCAGTGGTAAGCTCTGTTAGTAGCAATAATGGTTAAATATTGTATAGTGCATACAAAGGAAAAATAATTAATGGTCATGCTGTAATTAAGGTAATTTGGCCCTGCTAGCAGGTGGCTTTTTTTTCAGAATTCAAACCCAAAAATATTTAGTATGATCTTATTCCCAAAATAATGTAGAATTTAGGTTCGTTTTAACTTAGTTACACAACAAAACCAGAGCATTTTAGGAGCAACGCATGGGATGAAACTGTATGATTTGAACCACCCATCCAAGTCACAAGACTTTGACCTTTACTATCTCTAGCAGAGTGCAAAAACGATCCTATCCATGCAGTACAGTCAAGCTATAAACAAATTTCAATACTCTACTATTAACCAATCCTAGGAATTTCAACACAGGAATCAGAGCTAACTTGAACAGTCCTGTTTGTCACAGGAACATGCTAAAATTGCTATTCTGCACACCGGTGACCATGTGGAGACAGGAACCCAAAGTACTTTTGCATGTGACCTTCTGAACCTGCTCACAAACAGCGTACAAATGACTCTCATTAACTGCAGTTGAAAAGCTGTGAATGCCAACAGGTAAAAAGCAGAGCTCTCTGGCAACACTGCAGACAGCAAAGCAGCTGCTTCTAGGCCTCACGTAGTGCACGGCTGTCAGTTTTGGAGGGTATGCTTTGGTCTTTGCTGACCCCTTCCACAACACTGGTGCCCACCTGGGTTATCAGGAGTGGAGGGACCTCCAGCAGGACATGCACTGCCGAGGGCCTGGCGGCTCACACCACCTCCATGACCTGTGGCATCTCACCCTGATTACAACAGCTTACTCAGTTTTAGCCAAAAAGCCATAAATTTATTCTGAAAAAAAGTTCACTTTCTGCAGTTTTTTGGCCTCTCGAATTCCCCCCAAAAAAACAATTCAATTTTTTTTCCTGCAGAAGCCTATTTTCTGATTTATTCATTACCACCAATGTGACAAAGGGCTGCCAAAGGAAGCTGCAGTGAGCAAAGGGAACTTGTCAGTGAGAAATTTTTAATGGCTGGGAGGCTTTGTCACTCCTCAGTTAGGGTGTCACTCAGTTAGGGTGAGTGTTAGGGTTGAGAGAAAGAGAAAGCCAGAGCTCCCAGCAGAGTGCAGGAGGAACAGGGCTGCCAAAGGATGGATAAGCTGCAAAGAAAACATGCCTGGGAGACACTTTTCACCTGAGCAAAGACAACAGCAATTAGCAAGTTGGATAAATAGGTTCACACACACAAAAAAATTGCAACATTTCCAAACATTGTTATCAACTAGCGGAAGGTGACTATTCTGCAAAGATTCTCTAGCAGAAATATAGGCTTTGGAGGGAAATATTAAGTTCTTGGGATCTCTACTCAAATTTTAGATTTGTTCAGCAGAAATAAATGACTACACATGTCAGGCTCTGGACAACAACAAAAAAAGACTTTCCAGGAAAAAACAATGTGAAAAAGGAGGGAGGAAGAAATCTGGAACGGAAAAAATTATGAGGGGAAAAAGAAGTGAAACCCACTTACACTGTAAGTATTTTTCTGCCTGAACAATAAGACAATGTTTGGAGTGATGCTGCACTTTAATCCTTCCAAATGATTTCAGTTTATTAATCAGGTACTTCAATTCTTTATTTTTCAACCTATAGCTCAAGGTAATTACCTCTCATATATTGCAGGGAAAATTTACAGCTGGTCTTTAATACTCTGTCATTTTAAACTACTATATAATTAAAAAGTACATACATATATATATATATGAGGGTGTCATGCTTATATGCTTGTGTTTCTCTCAAGAAATATGAATTCCAGCTCCATCTGCACTAGAACATCAGGTTTCAATTTACATACGCTTCCTGAGCACTGTTGATACAGTTTTCCAGCTACTTTGCTTATAAGTTAGTAATATTGATGCTTTCTACTTTCAGAGATTTTTTTTTTTTATTTTACAGCTCTGTCAGCAAACAAAATACGCAATTCTACACCTTTATGGGCAGCACAGTTCTATCTATTAAAAATAGATATATTAGCCATTACCCTGTAGTAAAGAATTTATAATGCTTTTATGAATGTATTATCAGTAATACCATGTGCTAAATAGATTACATCATATCATTCTTTAGGTTTCTAAAAAAAAAGCTTAGTTCCATATAGTTACTACAGAAGTTTCAGTTATCCTCTCAAATTTTCCCTTTTCCTGTGGAAGAGAGAGACTTTTCAAAAAAAAAAACAAAAACCAAAACAAACAACCACCACACTTCATTGCCCTTCTCCCCATCTTAAAAATATCCGGAAATTTTACTTATCTGTCTTTTCTGCTAAAGTCACAGGCTTAGAAATGGATTCAACCTGAACATTACCCCCTCAGATCAAGCCACACAGGTAAATTTTCATTAAAAAACCCTACAGGGTTTGCTGACAAATCAATACAATCTAATAAATGCAGGTGCAGCAGAGGTCTGTATCAGACCTTGTCTAGATTACAAGTCTCATTTTACTGCTTTATCCCTGGTTGCCAGAGGCAACACAGAGGCACAGAGCTAAGAGGAAAGATAAAGCTTTTATTTGCAAGCAAGACCAGATAAAGACTCACACCAAGTGAGCTTGAAGGGTGCATTTATTTGAAAAAGTTGGAAATAGAAACAAAGCCCGGAGTTAACCCCCTACATGTATATGCAGTCGAGAAATTTGGAGAGAGATGTTTTGCAGCAGATAGATAGATAGAAGTGAGCTTGTGAAATCTCACAGGTTGAAACCTCCCTACTTTTCTCAGTGCAGAAAACCACAATAGGTGTTTCAGGTATACCACCAAGAAGTGCAGCTAAGAGAAAGCCTTTAAGTAAGTTATCA